GTAACCTTGCAAAGTGTTCACTTTTGTGGTTTTCGAAAGTTCTCGCAGTGCTTGTCAGCAAGGGCTTGGCTTGCGAACTTGGTGGCCGCGTCGCCTCTACATGCTCGAGTCATGCAGAGTGACATGTGCATTGCAACTGTGTGCAGTGACAACATGTCTGCAGCAACCAGGAAGCATTCCTCACTTCATGCTAGCGAAAAACTTTTGAAGGCCGCGTGCATGGATGTTCCTGCGCTGTCGTCGGTGCTTCGGCTGATTGACGGCATCCAGCGGGTGCTTGCTGCTTACAGGCTTTGGTTGCAAGAGCAGCGGGGCCGTCTTGACGGAGTTTTTCTTCAGATTGCCAGCTTGCGTGCTCAGGGCCCGGGATTAGAGGAAATCCGAGCGGAAGTGGCTCGCACTGTTCTGAATTTCAACAGCAGGCTTCAAGATACCGAGGACGATCTTGAGAATTTTTCTGCCCAGCACACGGCTGCGCTTCAGCTTTTCGAGCTCCGTCTTCAGCGGCTGTCTCAGGCCTTGCTGCTTCTTGGGATCCTTCTTTTGCAGCTGCTACGCCTGTTGGCCTAAGCAAATCTTGCCGTAATGCCCGACTCTCCCACTACATCGGCTAAAGGGGGGGAGGAGTTGCCAGTGGTTGATTCGCCTGACCTTGAGTCTCTGCAGGGTGGTGTCTTGAGTGATTTCGGGGAGCCCGAACCGTGGGCAATTTTTAGTGTTCATTCAGACTCGGCCAGCGGGGAGCCCCGCCTCCCGAGCGATGCATCTTGTGTCGCTACAGAGGATGCTCTCGAAGTGGACCAGCCTGCCAGTGCAGGTAACGAGGCCGGCTCGACCGGTAGAGGCGCCCAGCAAGGTTCGTTGCTTGCTTCAGGTCATCTGCCCGCATGTGGGCAGTCAGTAAATCGCATCGTACAGCAGGCGGTGGCCAGGTTGTCAGAGGATCCGATTGAAGCTTTGCAACTGCCTTGGGAGACTCCGTTGATGAAAGCAATTTTCTCGAATGACACTCCTACGGCGGTTGCAGGATTGCCGCCTGTGTCCCTGGCTGTCAAGGAGGCACCGCCTGCCCTGCCGGCTCAGGTCGTGCTGCATCGCAAGGGTCCCGCAGTTGCCAGTGCCTTGTTCGAGGGAAACATTTGTGCACATGCCATTCGGAAATTCAGAGATGAGGATGATGTCTTGCGGGATGAGAGGTTGCTGCATCGCGCTGCGGCGAAGTGGTGCCTTATTGTCTTCAGGTATGCCCGCGAGTTGGGTTTAGCACCTACCTCGGAAGAGGAAGTCATAGCGTGCTTCGGCACCCGGTCAGTGCACACAGTCACCAAGCGTGCCAACACTTTTGCTGCATTCATGCGCTGGCTTGATGTGTTAACAAACTCCAGCATCTCAGCATTTTGCGATGAAGCTTACTGGAAGTACCTGCGGTTCCTTGAGTCCTCGGGCGCGTCGGCGTCCAGCGGTACATCTTTCTTGGCGAGTGTCAGGTTCGGAAAGTATGTAATGGGATTGGAGGGCACCGAGGAGCCCAGCAGGCGTTGCGTGGGGTTGGCCGAGAAGCTCGCAGGGCAATCGGGCGTGGTGAGACAAGCGGCGCCGCTGACAGTAGCGCAGATCCT